TACACTAAAAATTGAGATCCTAGATTTTCTAGGATGGCCCTACTACATCTTAGAAAAATTGACTATTTTATACGCAATGTTTAACTTTATTGGATTTCTTTTCTCACTCTTAAAAGGAATCTACAATACATGTGCTATACACACACAAGTAAACAGACAAGCAAGCGTAGCACGCATACTCTTTGCAGGATTTTTTGGAATTTTTTCCACATCTATAAACAAAATTCTTTTAGACGCACAAATAAAAGAATATAACACAAAAATAACAACACGACAAAATACATACGACGAAGAACATAACAATGTCGACACACAGCCAACGGCACCACAATTACCACCCCTACCAAATAACCATCCACTATCCCTAGTCCCACGAAATTTTCGAAATTTAGCAATCACACATAATCCAAATTTTAGACTCACCACATCACAAAGTCCCGTCCAACATTGAATGACACATCAATCACAAGATGATAATACTTATGAACAAATTATTGAACAACCCCATACCACCGCTTTTCAATCTCAAAATAATAATTTTTTTAGCCCACGATGAGCCGCCAACTTGGATCACTCCATCGATCAAATTCCCATCCAACCAATCTTACCTCTTCAATCCCAATAATACCACTTTTTGCTTTTCCGCCACCCGATTTTCCATCTAGCAATGTAACATCAGGCATGAATTCCGACACTAACTCACAAATTTCAGTTTTATACTCCATCTCACAGCTAAATAACCCGAATATTGAAACCCCCGACGAATTTGCCGACTCAGAACCATCTCCATCCAATAATTTCCATAACCCCTCTCATTTTTCTCAACCTCCTTTTCAACCCATATTATCAAATAACCCTGACCCAATCACTCCTACACCCTCTTATGCTTCCCAAGTTACCCCAACCTACTCCTCATACCATTCTGACCAATCATCTCCAGATACCCCCCGAATCTCCCCAGAGCTAGACAATTTTATTACCCTCCAACAACAACCCTACCACCTTAACACCCCGACCATAAACCAAATCTCCACCACTACAAATTCATCCAATCCCCCTACACCCCCTTCAAATTATACTGAATCATTAGCACCATCATCCACATCAACTGAATCTTCACTCAACACTAATAGAGCTTACCGCACTTTTAAAAGAAAATTCCCCAACCATCCTTTCCCAGCAAAACCAGGAACAGCCCGTGAATACATCAACCACCCCCAGCATACTAACACTAGAGAATTTTTAGCTATCACTTTACCCTCATTTCCACAATACACCTTAAACACCCCTCATGACGCTAACGAAACACGCAACTTTGTAGACGAATACGTTTTAATGCCCACTCTCTCTTGGACCTCATATTATCATTTCACTAACCCTCTTTGCTTACCTTTAACCAACACTTCCATCGATATAGACCGAAACAAAGACATGCTATATCGACTAACTACACCACTCACCGCTAGACAATTTACTTACGTAGGATACAAAAAATCACTAAAAATACACACTGCACCTAGAGCTAATGAATATACACTAGAATACTACGATCACAACATCATCAGAGCTAACCAAGATCAATTCTTAGACGACGATCGCTTCGCTAACCCACAAATCACCGAGAAATTTTTCATCAAAACACCATATGTATTTACACTAAACATCTTCGACCGCAAGTTTGATCACATTATTTCAGAAGCACTAACAAGCACACAAGCATACGAAAGTTTTAAAGAACGCTTCCAAATCTTTTCACTAACCTTTCATTTCCTTGCACCACACGAAAGAGATTTACACTGCTCACACGATATTATGTTGCGAACTAAACAAACACATACATACAGTTACTATCGTTTCATCCAAAATCACTTTGACCTCCACACACCCTCTAGACAACCACACCATCGTTTTCAATTCATCAATTCAAAATACACTTCACCGTATTTCCTAAATTTCACATATTGTATTAAAGACACTAACCTCCATGGTATTCTCCGTAATTATGACCCCATAACCCAAATGTACATTTTCTGCCCCATCACCAAGACCTTCAACGCAGAAGAATCCCGACCCTTCCTTATCCCGCACGAGTTTGTACAGCCTATAGAAATCCCCATTTTAGAATTCATCCACAATACTAAATTTAACCACAAATTATATAACTTAATCCAAAACACACCTTATGAGTTTGCAGTAGGCACTGAAGAACTAACCACCATTAAGGCACTTCAAATGCTTTGGCCACTGCTTCAAACTAAAAATATCATCCGCATCTTAGCTAAACTACTAACAACTTCAGAACTAATTCACGACATCTTCCCCCACGGTTTTTTCCCCGACGACTAACAGGTAAGTATGAATTAAATGAATATTACTAACTAATTGAAATATTGAAAAACTCACCATTCTTTATTCATGTTTTCTTTAGATTTTTAGCCTTCATCCTAGATCATCTGAAAAATTCACAAAAGAAAAATAAAAAATAGCAAACTTCTTCAAAACTTTTTAAGACCCTATTAACTTTTGCACAAACAATTAAATAAATATAATACCAATGCAGTAAATTAATTTATAAAATTTTCCCCCAAAAGCAGTAAATCTACATATGATGAAAATTTGTATCTTAAAATTCCCCCATAACTAGCAGTAAATTTCAAAATTCTATGCAGTAAATTAATAAAATGCAATTGCAGTACTAACCTTTTGATATTTTCATTCATTCGCACAGAAATTCTATCCACACTCGCACAGCTCGCCCACGAAGAATTGTTTAAAATAATGAATTTCAGTTTCAAGTTTTCACACTCAACAACTCTAACATATAATAACATGTTTCAAACTTTCCTTTAACCCGGTTGGAAAGGAATCATATACTAAACAAAACTAACCAACGCAGCTTACTAAATACCACAAATCATAAAATAACAGCATGACTAAGAAAAGGAAACCAACGGTACCCAAACCGGATTAACCCAGTCTAAAACTGGATAATTTATTCTTTTGAAGACTATTACAAAGTCTTAGAAAGAAATAATAAAACACAAAAAAGTCGAAAGACAAACCCATACCACAAACAATTTGCTTTTTAGTAAAAGTACATAACCAACAAAACATAAGTAAAACCACAACAAACCCAACATAAAATGTTGTCACATAACAGGACCCCTCATAAAAACTGCATGAAATCATACTCCCACACCTGGCCTAACCCACCAGGAAAGGACGTCCTGAGCATGCTCTATAGCCGGCCTAACCCACCGCGCTACATCCACGCTTTGTGACCACACCTTTATTTTTAATAAGAGCTACTGTGAGTAACTCTTCAAAATAACCGAACTAAAACAAAAAGCTTTTGTGAAAACAACTAACTAAAATCATAATTAAAAAATACTAAATTAATAAAAGTTTTATAAAATGTAAAATCACATGATGCAATATATAGATCAGAATACAACACCAAGGACGAACATCAAAAGACAAGACGACCTCACTACACTCGAGAGAGAATGACCAACTACAATCGATATGCCGCTCACAATCACAACTCAAAGGATTTAGAGTACGACTTGACTTCGCAGAAAAGGACTTCATTGAACTAGACCAATGACCACCTCGATGTTCAAGTATACGTACAGATCCGAGTAACCAGGCATCCCCTCCACGCACAATCTCCACGCCATTCCCGAGCTAGATCAAACACAAAAGAAGTTCTCTCCGAAGAACAGAAAAACCTGACATAGCCAACCATTCTGAAACCAGAATTGATGCTGTTGCAGAGACTCAGTCGTTGTCACAAGAAGAACACAACGACTTGTGTCCTCAATTCCAGATCCCTGGAACTTCCTTAACAAAAAGGAAACAAAAAAAAAAAATGATGTTCGCCAAATACCAACGTCCATCATCCATCCTTGAATTACAGAAAAACTGTTCTAAAAAACTCTGTAAAACCCGGATGGGTGGAACCTGATCTAAACTATATATTATGATTGGATAAATTAAATGTTTTACCAATGTAAAGTATTTAATATTAACCAATCATGATCCATCTAACTAACAACCCACTTATTTGTAAGTGCTGAAGTTACTTGTAATTTCAGCACCAGAGAGATTTGAATTTAACTTAGAAATTAGTTGGACTCTCCCGAGCACTTCAGCAGCCGCAATAAACCAGTATACCCTAGATCTATTGAGCCTAGCAGAGACTAGTTAAACAACCTGAGACTAGATAGTATAAGAGTAAGATTAGGATCGGTATTAGACTAAGAAGTTGCACGAATCTATCCGGCCGAAAATAAGATAGCGTGACGAGCAGACGGTGTACCCTATCCGAAATTACTCTATGAGTTATACACCCCTGTCCTAACTCACATGAAATAAGTTTCTGCATAAAGTTTTGACAGAAATCTATGAAAAATTGTAAAGACTTTTAAAAACAAAAGTCTTTTTGATAATGCCCCAAAACGGTTTAGCAATTGAGTTTTCAATTTTGTCTTGCAACGAGAATTTTTTCCTCAGTTAATTCTCACTGAGTTTTTTCTAATTGATTTCTTTTCATTAAATTTTAGTATAGCCAACAACAAAAGCTACCCTTAATTTAAAAATTATTTGATGACTAACGAACCATTTAAAACTAAAAAGTTGTGACCAAAAGCCATTAAAACTGCCTTAATCATCATTAAAAGAATTCATTATACCTTGATATTCTTAAGACTTTTCTGAAATAGAAAAAGGAAGAAAAATTTCATCCAATATTCTTTTCAAGAAATTACAAGATGACCCAGAATTGTGACCAATTTAAAGTAAAAGGTTGTGACTAAAATCATTTAACACTGCCTTAATCACCAATAAAAGAATTTAATCTACCTTGATATTTTTTCAATTCGTCTCTAACAATTTTGCTAGAAGAAAACCTTCATTCAATTTACCTTCCAATAAATTACAAGATGGCTCTTGGTTGATTGTGACCAATTAAAAATAAAAAATTTTAATCAAAAGCCATTCAAATTGCTCTAATCAACATCAAAATATATTAATCTAGAATTTTTCAAGAATTTTTGTCGAAAATTAATTAAGCAAAGAGCAAAATTTTATCCATTTTCTCTAAAAAATCAACAGAAGCTGGGAAGACTTTTGAAATCAATGATTCTCGTAAATTTTGATTACAATGGAACAACAGCAAACATACCTGAAATAAATAACAACAACAACAGCAGCAGCAGTTCTGTTTTGCCACTCAAAGAAGTGGCCATACTCGTGTCTTCTATGGCCATCGCGTCCCAAGTAGTGGTGCTGCTCATGGCCAAAGGATTGCCGGGAAACTTCTCGGCCCAGACCATGATGGCAGTTCAAGCTGTTGGAGAGATAGCGAACCAAGTTTTCATTCTGCAAATGATGAGTTGTCATCTTTGGGGTAAGTTTGTTACAAAGCTAAAATAACCTTTTTCTAATAAAAAACTCGAAAAATTGCTGAAAAGTGGTTTTATGTACAGTTTGATTTCCAATGGAGTCAAGCAAAAAACACTACATAAACCAACTGAAATAGATTTAAGCCAGAGAAAAGGATTCGAAAAAGCGTTTCAGATTAGAACCGATTTCAAATCGGATAAAATCGATCATTTTAAAGGGCTAAAGGAAATAATTTAACAAGATTCTAATATTTTTTGCTTTTTGCAGGATCAAATTTCAATAAAAGGATGTAAGGTTATATATTAATAAAATGCTTGAGAAAGCGATTGAAATTTGATGCAGCAAAGAGACAAAAAAGGTTATAAGTTGATAAAATGCTTAACAAAGCGATTAAAATTTGATGCAGCAAAATGACAAAAATAAAAGTTTAAGCTAGTGAGCAGTGTAGTGCATTAGTACGAGCCTTCTTTCAACTCTAACACGCAAATAAAAGTAAAATTAAAAATATTTATTCATTGGAGGACACTTTTGCTATAATCACGATCTATAGCATTGGCAATTTCATAGTATCTGTTCTCTGATTTATTTGTGGCTAGTGTTTGATATTTAAAAAGTGTGCGTTGCTGAGTAGTTAGCGCGTGAGAGTCTTCATCTCTAGGTCGCAGATCGAAACACAGATGCGAATTTTTTTAAAACTAATTCGAGGCTAATTTCTTCTTTTTATTTAAGCTGCTCTTTCCAATCGGGTCACCAGCATAGAACGTTTCTACGTGGTATTAAACTATTTTTCCGTGAAAAATTTTGTACACAGATTGGTCAAACTAGGAATGGTAATTTTCATTGCTGACACTTTTATAATTCCCTAAGAAGTTTAAATAAAATATTCATCATATTGATAGAAAATAAGTAATTTTATTTATATGGGGTTGATTTTGTTCGAATTCGAAGTTTTTGTCTTAGTTTTTCTCAGTTCATGTTTCATGTTTGAAAATGTCATTAGTTTTATCTGCTGCAGTTTCTTATAATGCTACTGAAGCACGAAATTTTTTGTTAAAAACATTTGCAATTATAATTGAAAATTCAGTGGTGTTATTTCACCAGGTCATTTTGATCAATTTTTCTCTTAATTTTTTTTTGGTTTTTTCAGTTGATCAGTTTCAGTTTATGCTATACCGGCTCAACTATCAGCTTTTATTGCGTATTTTTAGGTAAAATACGTTTTATGCAGTTAATTGTCATAGTAAGGATGGGTCCTGAATACCTTAAAAATCCATACCTTAAAAATCCATAAATTTTATAAATTTTTAACAAGAAAAGTTTTCTTGCAAAGCTCAGCAGAAGGTCGACCTAGTTTGTCGACTTAGTTACCACTCGTTCAAAAATTTCCTATGCTTTTTAGGCTGTTTATGATCACAATCGGATGCAAACTTGAAGTATTGGAGGTTATTTTTTTTTGTTTTTTTTTATTTGTTTCAAAGTATTTTAATAAGAAAGTTTTTAGACGTATACTGTGAGAAAAAATTAGACTTCTGTTTTTAGTTTCTATTCCTTATCACAGTTTTTTTGTATCGCTACTTTTTTAAAATTTCATTTAGCCTTTGTGAATCAATTTTAAGCACTTGATCCTTGATAATGTACCAAAATTTTTTGTAATTTTCTTTTATTAACAACAATTCGATAACAAATAGGAGAAAGTCGGAACATTCAGGGTTTTGCCCTGATATACGAGCAGTCTTGTTTTATTCTGATTTTTATCCGTTTCAGCTCTTGAAGTCTTTATGATAAATCGATTTGAAGTATTCGGATTGCTCTGAAGAATCTGATTTTTTTTTTCAGAAATTTTTTTAGTTTCATTCAATTCTGAGATAGGCATCTCAACCAGGGGCGGATTTAGCTTTCCCCCACGCCCTCAGGGTTTCGACCCCCTACCGACCCAAAGGGTACTATTTAAGAAATCCATACTTGGTGACGTAAAAGGTCGTCAAAATTGTTTGAAAATCCGCCCCCCCCCCTGGAGAAAAACCTAGATCCGCCCCTGATCTCAACTTTTCGGTCTGGCAATTCTGCAGGAGAAAAACTTTGCTTGAATGAAAGTTTTGCTATTGTGTTTTAGTCAACAAGTAGTTTTTTAAAATCATTATACGAGAATCGAAGTTTGACTTAGAACAACATTAAAATGGAGATGTGAGTTACAATTAATTCGCTGAATATATTCCACAGGAGGTGTAGTTTCTTGTGGATTTCTGAAGTGGGACTTCAATTGCAAGGTGATCGGACTGGTCAACTGGTTCAACCGGACTGCCCCGGATTACCTGAATCTCCTCCTCTCCATCGACAGGTAACTTTGGATGGATCTCTCTAACTATATCCCCCCTCGGGTACCTAAAACGAATATCCCCCTTATTAAAAAATACACCAACGGTTAAGCATACGAAAATTTTATACCTATCTAACGAATGCCACCCTTTTGGAAAAGGGGGATATAGTTAAAAAGATCTTTTTGGATTTCTGATGTTGTATCAGCCATTGTAAATTATTCGAGAGCAAAATGAGTCATTGACTACTCATTTGTAACATTCGTCTACTGTAGTCACACATGAGGCTTAAGAAAAATAGGCCCTATAACCATTGGCTCAAGAGTCAGGGACACTATCTCTTGTGTTTTTCTACCTCAAGAACGTTCGGAGCCAATTCGGTTCGCTTGCGACATGAGACTGGAACCCGTTACAGCTTGAAGGCCACTACCAAAATACCCCCACTCTAGAAATAAAAACGTCCCCATACTTAGGTCTCGAAATACCCAAAATACATGAACGCCGTTAAAAACCGGGTCGGAACAATCCGCTTAGTTACTTTTTATTGGACAGTGGAACTTTGATCCATTTCAGATGGATCAACCTAAAACTCGCCTTATCTCAACATAACTATCATAAAATACACTCGAGAAATTTAAATTGAGAACTCACATGTCGATGCACTTGAGTATGAGGAATAACTAAAAGATAAGCAGCTTGAGAACTAAATAATATAACTGAATAAGTTTGATGCTAATTAGTTTTAACAACAGAAGTAAGTTCTGTCTCAAGAATCAAAGTTTCTGAATGAACCATTGGGACACTCGAGTTGTCCACTCTTCCATTGAATGTTCACTCCTTTCCGTTCGAATAGTCTTCCTTTCTCAAGTCTGTATTCTATTCTCCTGTTTTCAGGATGAGACAGCTCTACTCTCTGATTATTCCGTATCGAGAAATTGCGAATAGCAATTTCCTGCCTTTTTCTTGAGTAGTTTCCCGCAATTGTTATTTCGGTCGTTCTGATTTTGATTTTTGCGTTTTCAGTTGGTTCGAGAAAACTGAGCATGACAGGCTCCATTCGAAATTTTTAAAATTAAAACTTCACTCCAAAATTACGTGTTTCTCAAGGTCAAACCTCCAGACATGACCGACTGGCACAATTCCTCAAATTTTCTCCTCGCTGATTCGATTATGTATTAACGGATGTGCTTTTATAATAAGGATTACTTAATTTAATACTAGCATTGAATACTTGCACAAACTGGATATCGGATTTTTTTTCGGCCCAAATTTGTAGATCGCCGCAATGATCGAAAATTCTGAGCTGAAAAACTCTGATATCCAGGGCTAATGTTTCTCGAATGCGATACGAAATCTGCGTAAAACAATCATAAACGCATATTAACTCTTCACACATAAATTTTAATCCAGTTGTTTCGTTTCGTACGATCGTAAGAGATTTTTTTTATACTCATATTTATTCTAGATCAGACATACCTTATAACATTAGAACACAACAATTTCAAGAACTTCTCTCTAAAATAGATACAACAATACAAAGACAGTCAATTGACCAAAATTTTACGAAAACTAGCTGAAACAGCAGAACTCTCGGATATTTACGCACAAGAATACAGCGGATACTTTGGAGATGTTGAAGATTACATAAAGCTCAACAGTGAAAAAAACTGATCACAAGATAATTCGCCGGTTGTTATTTTCAGTTTTGTAAATCTTAAAAATGAACTCCTAGTGTTTCTAGCATGGCCCTACTATATATTAGAAAGATTATACGCAATGTTAATTTTTTGGATTTCTCTTCTCATTATTCAAAGGAACTTATAACACATGTGCAAAACATACACAAGTAAGTAAACAAGCAAGAGTAACACGAATTTTACTTGCAGGATTTTTTGGAATAATTTTCACCTCAATTAACAAAAATTGTTCTTGCCGCTCAAATTAGCGAATACGATAGGAAACTATCTACAACACCAGATGCATAGGAAGCTTCATAAGAAAAAAATAAATTCAACACCTACAGCACCGCCACATTTACAAAATCTGCAAAATAATCAACCCTTATCTTAAGTCCCACAAAATTATAGCAACACACTAGCAATCACCGATCGTACCTCTGAAGGTAGTAGCTTTCAACGAAGTCCAGTATCTCATATAACACCACCAGCCAAACATTGACGACACATATGAGCAAAGTTTAGAACAACCACACATAATAAAATTTCCTTTTCAAAACAATTTTTTTAACACACGATGAGCAGACATAATGGATCCCCCAACCGTTACCTTTTCTATCCATCCAACTTCCACCGCCAACCCTCCCGCATTTTACTCTTAGACTTCACCTCTTCTCCCCTTCCGAGTTTTTTTTCTAATTTACCACGCAAGGATTCAGACGACTCAACCCAAACAGTTTGTAATACCATCTCTACTTTTAGAAGCTCAGTTTTAGAAAACCTCAACAATTTCCTAGACTAAGAACCAAGCCCAACTAATTTTTCACAACCACATTTCCAACCCATTGCTTCACAATTTCCTAAAGAAACCTCTCCCTCCCCCTCTTCATACACTGATACTACCCTTATTCTTTTCCCAATGTCAAGTACTCAACCCGACGCACCTAGCTCCATGACCGATAACCAATTAGAGCATGAATTAGATAGTTTTATAACACAACAACAGCACTTTTATGACACAAATTTTGCATTAACAATTCACCAAATAACACATTCAGCCTAAGCAATTCATTCAGTCAATGTTGCACTAACCAGAGCACAAAGAGTTGTTAAAGAAAACACTCTAAGCTTCACATCAATCTTTCATTGGCTGACCACGATCATCCCGTCTATTTTCCCATCGTCCACAACATACTAACACAAAAAAATTACTTCATAACTCACCATCCCCTATCCCCAAATCTACATAATATGCGACCGCTAACGACAATCCACAGAACTTATACGTTGAAGAAAACGTTCTGTCTCCCACACTCTCTTGGACTACCTATTACCATTGCACTTGCCCATTAACCTTTCCCTTGAAAATCACCCACGAGGACAATGAATTAAGTCACTCCCTTCTTCATAAACTACTCATTGCACTTCACGCAAATCAATTTACCACCATCGGATGAAAACAAAATCTCTATTGACTCATAGCAAAATGCGCTAACCGATTTTTAACCACACTATGCTCATGCAATAACCCGATATATGGAAGACACCCCAAATGAGGAAGATCCCATTACTTAACCTCAACTACCAGAATTTTTTTTGTTTAGAAATGAATATATATTCCACTTAGATAGTAATAACAAAAATTCGATAACATTTTTGCTCGCGCATTAACAAACACCAAAGAATGTGAATCAAGTTTTAACAAATTTAATCATTTCGCACTCACATTTGACTTCGTTACACCTAAAGAACGCGACAAACACTACTCGCATGAAATCATGTTAAGAACGAAACTGACGCACACATACACATTTTATAAAATTATCATTATATATCTAATCTCATCATTATATCGACATCATATATCTAACTCACCAACACGTAACTCACAACATCGTTTTATGATTATTCATTCAAATACTTCACCATATTTTTCAAATTTCACTTATTATCTTAAATTGACTAATCTCTACGCCATCCTTCGTAATTATAACCCCAACAGACAAATGTATATTTTCTGCCGACTAACCAACACTTTCCCCATTGATGACGCTCGCCCACTAGTTTTCCCCAAGAATATATACAGGCCTTTGAAATAACCCTAGTACAACATATTCACAACACTAAAATCAACCACAAACTGTATAATTTAATTCAAAACCCAAATCTTGAATTCTCACTACTCATCGAAAAACTTAACCTCATCAGAGCGCTGGAACTCCTCTGGCCTCTGCTTCGCACTTCTCTTATCGTCAGACCCGATTAAAGCTAACTTCCCAAGGATTTTTCCATGATGCAGTATCCTCGTAAGTATGAATATAAGTATTTAAACTAACAAATAAAAACAAGACACTTAACATCATCCATGTAGTTCTCAATTTTTTTTAGATTTCATCAATATCATTCCTCTAAACAAAAAAGAAAACAGAAAATCACCAAATCTTCTTCTAGTTTCTAAATTTTCTATTTAACAATGAAAATTAATTAATGAAATTAATTAATGAAGTAAGTTTTATCCTAAATTCAATAAAATAATATCTCTGAAGTAAATTTCATACATTTCAAAGCAGTAAGAATTCATAAAATGAAAACAATTTTCAAGGAAACTAACATTTTTGTAAGCTTCTATTGTAAGCTTTAAAAAGTCTCCTCACTTGCTTACAATTCACACTCTGTGCAACAAACTCGCACAACTTGCCCACGTAGAATTATTTTAAAAATAAATTTCAAGTCTCAAATCCATCAGATAACAACTCTAACTAACTTTCGCGCGTTTCCAACTTTCTTTTAACCCGGTTGGAAGGAATTATAAGTAAATTTAAGCTAACCAACGCAGCTTACTAACCCCACAAAACCAACCGCATGCATAAGAACATCCCACGGTACTCAGACCAAATTAAACCCAGATTGAAACTGGATAAATTATTCTTTTGAGACCCACTTTCAAGTTTTATTGAAATCACTTGAAACAAAAAATTGTCAGAAGAAAAACCCAACAAAAACGATCTAGTTTTGATAAAACAAAACAACCAAAGACTGCCTTCATGTGCTACAACCCCGATCCTCTGTTTTTAATATGAGTGGCTCCAGGGTGAGCAACTCTTTGAATTAACCAAACTTAAAAACGCTTTTGCGAAAACAACTAATAGAACATCATAACTGAATCTGATCTCACTAACAAGATATAGATTTAATATGCACTGTAAAAAGACTTCTTAAAGCAAACGGAACGAGCAGCAAAGGGAGATGAAAACTCCAGGACCTTCTGACTTTGAAATGGCAAATCTATTGATTTGTTGCCGTAGTCACAACCCTCACAGGATTTAAAGTGTGGAACTAACATCGCAGCAAAGAGAACAATTGAAACAGACCAGTGGCATACTCGATGAGAACTTCGCAAACAGATTCTGGTCACTTTGCGCCCCATACAGAGAAGTCAAACTTCATCTTGCACGCAGTCTCGCTCTATCTCAACGAAATCAACACATCATTGCATCAATCTGAGATCAATCTAACACATTTACTAAAGACAGTCTACAATAAGACAAAATCCATTTCTGGAACACAAACAATTGTAGTCTCTCTCTGCTAAAATAACTACATCTCTCCTTCCTTCACGCTGTCACTGCTCCAACCGCTCAAAAAGAAACCACTCCAAAGAACAAAGGAATCTCCACATCCATCCTTTACTATAATAAACAATCTGAAAACTAAAAACTTTCTAAGCCCCGCATAGGTGGAACCAGTTTAAAATTAATTTTTATAAATAAATATATACTTAATAAAACTATCTCTATAAAACATTACTTACTAACCAATCGTGATCCATAACTAACACCGATAATTTATTTTAGTTTGAATAAATCTTAGATGACAGTTGTTCTCCTTTCAAACAAGTTCCTTAAACCTATTTCGCAAATACCAGTATAAACTAGATCTATTGAGACTAGGAGATATAAGAGTAAGATTAAAATTGGTATTAGTCTAAGAAGTTGCACAAATAAGTCCGGCCGAAAACAAGATAGCGTGAGGAACAGACGGCTTACCTTATCTGAAATTACTCTATGAGTAATCTACCTCTGGCTTAAACTCAAAACGTTTGCTATTACATTGCAGGGTGGTAGCTGTCAAATATGGTGTGTGGTACAGCACTAACTGCAATCGAATGAAGGCGTGGCTGGCAATTGTGCCGGTGTTGACTCCGGTACTTGTCGTCATTATCTACCAGGCAGCATATTTCCAAATCACCCAGCTACCCAGACCGATTTGCTGGTCTGGGGGACCGGTTAGAAATTCTATTTTACTAGCTTAAAGTCCAACAGGTAACGTTTTCCATTTTTCTGCAAGATCGTATGGAAAAAACTTGTCATATACTTTTTTGGTTTTTATGGAGTTGTGTGAAACTGCATCAAGATAAGCTTTATTTCCTATATGAAAAGGTTTCATAATCATTTTCGTTCAAACAGGGTGCTTAAGAATTTTCTTTTCTTTTTCGAAATTTTTTCTTGGAGAAATCAAATCCCAAATGAAATATATAAAACCGAAATTATAAGACAACTTTCAACATATTTTGGTTTCAGCTCGAGCTACTGAATGAGTTTAATTGGTCGCGCTTAAATGAATATCATAAATTACTCTCATAAAATTTTCGAAAATTTTGTTATAACCACATTGGTTTTCAGGTCAACAAAATATTTAGGTAAACCAAATTGGTTTTTCCAGCTCCTCCACTATGAAGATCTTATTTTGACCGATCAATTTGACGATGGTTTGGTCTGTCAGCTCATTGTCTTTTCAGGTGAACTACAGACTGATGACGAATGTGATGGGGTTCTTGGGGGTTCCTGCTACTCTACTCACAATTCTACTAACTGTCTACCTCGTAGTCCAACTAAAAAAGCGGCAAAAGATCAGAACTGCTCAACGAGTGAATACTCACAATCATGAGCCGAACAACGACAACTCGGTTCTTACAATACTCATTTATTCATTACGAGGCCGAAACTTTGTACTTTGTTTCGCAACAAGGATTCCGCAACAAGGACACTCTCTTTGTTCTTTGTTTGTGCGGTCGTTTTCTTTGATTGTTACTACAAAAATTTAACACATTTAAAGACTTGTCTCTGGATTCCAGAGACATACACACACCAAATTGTGCGCCTATCCAGAGCAGTTTGGCCTCGTAATGTTTGATTATTTTTAAAAAAATATATATGTTTTACTTTTGTGACCGGAAGTTTTCAGGTTACTGTGGCGCTTCTGACGAACTGTGCAATCTTCTCCCTTTTCCGACTTCTTCTGTTCGCAATTCATGCTCTGGCGGCCAGCATGGATGACTCAGACAGAGAGTCGATGGGGTTGAAACTGAGAGTGGCAGGACTGGCTGTTGTGTGTGGCACGTTTGCTGTTCTATTCCAGGGTCCAATATACTTGACCATGAAGACCATGAGGAGAGCTTTCAAGGCTTCAGTTGGACTATAAACGCTGTCTCAAATCAGTCTAATAAAAAATATACATAAATCTGAGATTTTCCACCAAAATTCGTCACCTCATTCTTGTGCAAATGTTCAATTTGACTATCCCCAAGAAATTTTTTCCATATAAAGTTGTTAAAAGAGTTTTTTAGAAAAGGTGGGAAGGAACTGTGTTGTCGCAATTTCTAAAAACTCGCAGGGCCACCCACAGTGACGGTATGTATCATTTCACTTGTGAGAGCATTTGCACTTGTAATCATTAACAAGACTTTTCAGCCCGTAATCAACTTCCGTTTACTGATCTGTGCAAAACGCTAGCAGTTACTTAAATATTTAAAATTATATATTCTTCTCGTAATGACTTTATTTTTAAATCGAAGAAACAAAATCTTTACATAGAAAAAAGATCCGGTTGAGATCTTAAGATTTTTTTCTTGTTTTAAAATTCTTTTTAAGATGAATATGTTGAAAGTGAAGAAACATTTTTAAAAAAAGTTAACCAACTTTATATAATTACAGGACAATCTGTAAACAATAACACTTGCTTCATCTTTTTAGTTTTTTAACTTACAGGTTTTAATGACAAATTGCTCCAAAAACAAAAAAGTCCAAGAGAAAAGTGAAAAGAAATCAATTAGAATGGATTTTTGTGGTCTAGATCTTTATCAATATCATCGGATCACATATCGCACTCAGACAACAAAATGGAATTAAAAACAATAATAAATGTAGTTCCTCCGAATCGCAGAGGAGCTATCAGTCCTGTAGAGGGTAGTCCATTCGTATTATCTCCCCACATTCCAGACAGTGTTATTTTGTTGAGCGAAGCTATTGTATCCGACTCAAGGCCGTTTTTTGCGACTAGAACTTTCTCGTGGTACCACTATTGCAGCCAAATTTGGTCAGGTTGTGGTAGACCTGAAACTAGAGGTCAAGTGAGAGCTCGTCCTCGCACACTATCATTGCCATGGCATGGGATCGATTACACGATCTGACGATTCTAAAGTCAACGCCTTACCACTATGGTAAGTGCCCCTAAAAAAATGGATTATAATCCGTTGTTTTCATGAATTTTAAATTTAATTTTATCCATTCAAAATAATTAATGGATTGTTTTTTGCGTTGTGCAAAAAATGCAATAGTTTGCGTTGCGAATCGTTTCGTTCATCCCCTTTTATTTGCCCCTTTAACCCCACCTTAGCCACCGCTCTACCACCTAACCTTACCAACATCCCCACATGAATCACACCCTTCGGCCCACCTGAACCACCCGTTTCCTGATCTGAACAAACCCCCCCCCCCCCCCCCACCTCACCAATTGAATCACCCGCCCCCTGACCTTATCTACAACCCTGCCCAACTGGCCAACTAAATCACATGCACACAATTGAAAAATTGATAAAAACGGTAACAAAATCAAAATTGCGCAAAAAATGAAACTGAGCAAGAAGTAAACATTTATAATTTAGGCGTAAAAAAACCATTTTGCTTGCATTGATATTCGCACCTCAAAATTGGACTAAAATGGCATTTCATTGTCTTTGTTTCTAAAAGTGAAAAACAATCGATTTTAAATGATTTGATATGGATTTCAAGGCTTTATTAAACAATAGCTAAGTAATTCATTTTTATAAGTTTTTTTAGTTAACCAGCCAGAGCCATAACACGAAGGTTACTTATTTAAGGTTATCTAAGCTATGGCTATAATACACGAACTCATCTTCTAAATTGCAGTTAAAAGGCACGTGAGATTTGAACCCGCAATCATATGGTTGATGTGCACCATCACTACCAATGCGCCACAACGCCACATTTTTAATTGATTCTTATCGATTATTTTTCACTTTATAGACGCTGACAATGAAAATCAACTAAAAAATTGAACTCCAGTGTGGGTAATGTAGTGATTTGCGAAAAAAAGATGTTATCTCCACTAAACGTTTTGAGTTTTTTGAAATGAAGTGATTGAAATTTTAGCTTCCTAGTTAATGACGAGTATGAAATTGAGTATCAAAATTTGAGCATGCAGTTTGGCAACTTGTAACTTGACATTCTATTGACACAGTTTTATTAAATTAATGAAACTCAATCAGAAGTATTACAGGCTGCCATCACAACACTACAATTAGACAAAAAAAACTTTTTTTTGCATGGCTGTTTCATTCGATTTCATATTCATTTGCTACCGATCTGCTTTGTTGGTTCAAAAAAAAATTGAAGTACAAATCAAAAACATTACTAACTGACATTTGAGCAGAACTTGCTCAATTTCTGATGAACGCGCACTTAACATCGGATAATTTGAAAACGTTGAATAAATGGTCTGTATCAATGGAAACTCTTCGATCCTTAACCCATAAAATTGCAACCTTGAATGGCAGTCATTATTTGAACCTGACTTTTGTAGTGATTCTATACTGAAGTTACGTATTATAACGTCTCTATAACGTACTGCTAGGTGTCTAATAGTGATTTACTCTAGCTAGTTGTGTGTTTTTTGCCACTCACTATCTTTAGGCCGCATCTTCAGTCCATTCTTTCATAAATTGTTAAAGAATTTACAGATTGTTATGTTGCGGTACTTCTGTTAACTTTGAGTCGTAATTTTTTTATATTGTTTGATATGACTGAATCTTCAGTTGTTAAGCGAATTTTTGAAATACTGCTCATCAAAAGGTTTTTGTTGACGATGCTGTGAACTCAGGTTAACTCCTAGGGGTATTGGTTAATTCGTCTCAACTCCGCTTGATTTCGTTTTTCCGACATTAGCCTTCTCACTCGGCCCGTAAAAATTTCACGTTTACACATTTCATTCTAGAATGTGCATGCACTGTGCCGCACCCTAGACATTCGGCATCCGGTGATTTGCTGAATTACTGTCTTAGATCAATCTTATGACTAAGAATGTTCAAGCCACACTTACAATACTGTTCAACATTTGAAACAGGCAACCAATATATCTATTATACATTTAAATGCGCGCTTCACTATCTCACCACGCTTAAGCTTTTTCAACGCAATACTTTTGCATGTTTAACGGAAGAATTTTTTCACGTTTAAGCTATATCGTATATTGCAATAGTTAAGATTTTTTCGATTTTCCAGTTTGAATTCAGTGATTATTCCACCTAGTTTAAAACAAGCAGCACAATAGTGGGATGCTGTCAGGATTCCCCAAAAGGTTAGAACTTTAATTCCAATAAAGAATGCTCTACTCCTTTTAGTGTGAGAGATACGACGAACGATTTTCGTTGTTTTTCTTCCAAAATATTTCAGAAAATCAAATTGAAAAATAATTTTTATATTTGAATGCGGGCTTCACTATCTTGTCACGTTTAAACTTTTTCAACGCAAAATTTTTGCATGTTTAACGAAAGAGCTTTTCACGTTTAAGCAATATCGTATAATGCAATGGTTAAGATTTTTTTAAAATTTTCCAGGTTGAATTCAGTGATTATTCCACCTAGTTTAAAATAAGCAGCCAAATAGTGGGATGCTGTCTGGATTTACCGAAAGGTTGAAATTTTGATTCCGATGGAGAATGATCAACTCCTTTTAGTGTAAGAGATACGACGAACGACTTTCGTTAATTTTTCTTTTCAAAAAAATTCAAAAAATTAAATTACAAATTAATTTATACTTAAATGCGGATTTTACTATCTCGCCACGTTTAAGCTTTTTCAACGCACAATTTTTGTATATTCAACGAAAGAATTTTTTCACGTTTAGGCTATATAGTATATTGCACTGGTTAAGATTCTTTCAATTTTACGGTTTGAATTCATTGATTATTCCACCTAGTTTAAAATAAGCAGCCCAATAGTGGGATGCTGTCAGGGTTCCCCAAAAGCTTGGAATTTTGATTTCAATGAAGAATGCTCGACTCCTTTTAGTGTAAGAGATACGACGAACAATTTTTTTTCAAAATTTTTCAGGAAATCAAATTACAAAAAAAAATTATATATTTAAATGCGGGCTTCACTATTTCGCCACGCTTAAGCTTTTTCAATGCAATATTTTTGCATGTTTAACATGAGATTTTTTTCATGTTCAAGCTATATCTTATATTGCAATGGTTAAGACTTTTTCGATTTGCCAGTCTGAATTCAGTGATGATTCCTCCTATTTTAAAATAAGCAGCCCAATAGTGGAATGCTGTCAGGATTTCCCAAAAACTTGGAATTTTGATTTCAATGATGAATGCTCAACTCCTTTTAGTGTAGGAGTACGACGAACGATTTTCGTTAATTTTGTTTCAAAATATTTCAGAAAATCAATTTAGAAAATGAATTTTTTATTTAAATGTGGGCTTCACTATCTCGCCACATTTAGGCTTTTTCAACGCAATTTTTTGGCTGCTAAACGAAAGAATTTTTTCACGTTTAAGCTAATTCGTATATTGAAATGGTTAAGATTTTTTCAATTTTTCAATTCGATTTCAGTGATTATTCCACCTAGTTTAAAAAAAACAGCTCAATAGTGGAATGCTGTCAGTTTTCCCAAAAGGAATTTTTATTACAATGAAGAATGCTCAACTCTTTAGTGTAAGAAGAATACTTTAGTGTAAAAGATACGTTTTTTTTCAAAAATTTCAGAAAAAAAATACAGAATAATTGACTAAACTTTCTCTAACACTGTAGTTTGGTGCTGTAGATTCTTTTAGTTTTTGAGATATGACGTTTTTTGTAAATTTTTCAAAATTCTTTTTAGAAAACTCAAACGAAATTTTCTTTTTCAAAATTTGAAATTCCCAACCTTGCAGTTGGCGACTATAAGAGTTTTCTCAGGAGATGCGGACCTTGCTTTCAAATATGACTGCTCAAATCCTTGCAGTTTTCGAGATAGTACGTTTTCTGTGATTTTTTCAAAATAAGTAATTTAAAAAAGTTATTTTGAATTTTTTCCCTCTAGTAGGGTGCTGCTAGGGTACTCTCAGTGGTTGCGAATCTTGCTTCCATATATGACTGCTCAAATCTTTGTAGTTTTCGAGATTTGACGTTTTTAGAAATTTTTTTAAAAAGTTTTCAGAAAACTTCAACGATCTTTTTTTCTTCAAATTTGGAAA